TCCCATGTGTTTCAGTAAGACAGCCTACAAACGTTTTGTTATAACTACAGTTGGGCTTTGTGCTCAGAGCTCATCACTTCATGTATTTATATTGGATGTAAAACTAGAAAGTGGTGAGTAAATATCTCTGTGGAGCCTACAGGTGGATGCTGGGGAGCATGTTACCTGTTGAGCACAGCTCAAGCTCCTTGCTTAAACGAACTTTGCTTTAGTAGTGTTTGGAACTGTACACACCGGTGTGTGCTGTGTGAAAGGAGGCATCTCTTTTTCAGAAGATATTCTAAGACGGTCAAGTTGGCAGAAGTCCATAGTTAAGGTGGCTGAATGATAACTGGAATGCTACGACATACCTGACCAGCTGGAAGGGAAAACATGAGATGGGAAGAAACTGAGTTTACATAATTTCCTTTGGGATTAAAAAAGTATAGAGACTCTGATAACAATACCAGATGGTGTCATTCCCTCAGGTGGAAAGAAAAATAAAAGGCTGGGTAACTCACCCGAAATAACTGTCTTTACTTGGGTGGGCAGCACATTAAAGGAAAATTGATACGTGGGGAAACACTGATACATTTCTTTGCCTTCAAATACATACTGCAGTGGTAATTCAGCTTTTCGTCTTGTAAGTGTTTCGTGTCTCTGATGTCACATCTTCCTGCTCATGTCTGCCTGCAGAACATTGATGATGGCACCGCTGACCGTCCCTACAGCCACGCTCTGGTCGCCGGCATCGACCGCTATCCCCGTAAGGTGACCACATCCATGGGCAAGAAGAAGATCGCCAAAAGGTCCAAGATCAAGGCCTTCGTTAAGGTGTTCAACTACAACCACCTCATGCCCACCAGGTCAGTGTCTAATCTACATTGACATAATTAAGTTTTCCTGTAAAGAAAATAAAGTGGTGGTGACAGAAGAAGTCTTTTGGAATGTCTTATAAAAAGTGTCCAACAGCTGTAACATGATTGGATACCATATTATTAATGTTAAATCAAGAAAGGCTGTCATTTTTAAAAACATCTGGTTGATTAAATGTTTTGAGTTTAATTGAGGAGGCTGGTTATTCTTCTTTCAAAAATCCAATCACATCTATGGGCTGAAATCTGACACGGTGTTCTTCCCATTGTTATTTATGTGTCTGTGAAGACATTTACAGATAATCAATATTGTGAAACGTGTGTAATGACACAGTTTCTGAGTCTCATATTCATAAATCCACCCATCAAACTCGGTGAGGTGCAAATAAATACAGTGCGTGTCTGAATCTGAACTGCATTCATTAGAAGTTTAACTATTATATTGCTTGCAGTTATTTAAGCAGAGAGCTGGGATGTGTGGTGTCTTCAGATCAAAGTTTTATTACTGGAGATGTTTTTGTTACTTTTTGTCCTTTCCAGCTGTTAACAGCTGTTCTTTGCTTCATTTTTTGGATCCACTTGTTTTAAACGACCAACATGCTTGACTTGCCTTATGCGTTTGATCTGAATAATTGTTACTACTTCAGGGTGAACGAGCCACTTAAGCAAAAAGTAGTCTGTTTTTTTAGGACAGCTGTTTTGCTCTGTAAAATGACTGATCCCTTTAAGTGCATAAATAGGTCTGTTAAACGCTGCCGTCACTTTATCTGAACAGATGCTCTTCAGACATCTTTGGTGCCCAAAACCTATAAAAACTATAGAACTTTATCTTGATGACGAAAAGAGATTTTGCTTAA